TTCTTTAAGCAATATTTTGTAATTCCCATTGTAATGCTCTTTCACCTCCTTGGTTAGATGTATTCCTAGGTATTTTATTTGTTGTTGTTGTTGCTATTGTAAATGGGATTGCATTCTTGACTTGGCTCTTAATTTGAACATATTTTTTTTTTTTTTTTTTAAAGAAAGGCAGACTGCCACATGCAGTGCCTCATTCAGATGTGTCTGGAGACTTGGAAGTTTGACTACCCTATGTTCTCCTACAAATGGATTTTGAGAGCTTGTTTGGAGGTTCTAGTAGGGAGTGCAGCTATTTGTACACCCTTGAGTGAAGACCAGTCCTCTTTTATCAGGGATAATCGTCCTCTTCAACCAAGCACACAGCTTTGGGAGGAACACACATGGAGCTGTGAGGGAGAAAGGAGACACCTGCCTAGCCAGGCAGATCAGCTGAATCAACCCTGGCGATCAATGGTGTGATAAATGTCACAGCCAGACCACTATCAGATCTAAGTTTGAACATTACTGATGTATAGAAATGCTGCTAATTTTTGTATATTGATTTTGTATCCTAAAACTTTACTGAAGTTGTTTATCAGTGTCAGCAGCTTTTTGACAGTCTTTAGGGTTTTCAATGTATATAATTCTATATATAATATGTGCATGTGTGTGGTTTTAATGTTTCTTTTAACATTGGTTTTCAGCAATTTGATTGTGATCGTTTGTTTGTAGCCTACTTGTACGTTATTGAGCTTCTCAAATCTGTGGGTTCAGCATTTTAATCAAATTACAAATATTTCTAACCATTATTTCTTAGTTTTTTCCTTTCTCTGTTACTTCTTTCTGCCTCCCCAAGTACACGTATATTATACTGTCTGATATTGTCTCACACTTCATAAAGGTCCATTCCTTTCCTGTAGTCTTTTTTCTCTTGGTGCTTCAGTTTGGATAGTTTCTATTGCTGTATGTTGAAGTTCAATGAAATTTTCTCTTGCAAGTTCTAGTCTTTGGATATAATCCCTTTGAATTTTTTATTTCAGTAATTGTATTTTTCAAAGCAAGAAATTTCATTTATTGTTGTAAAAATATCTTCCATTTTCTTTCTTTTTTTTTTTTCTTTTTTTTTTGAGACACAGTTTCGCCTGTCACCAGGCTGGAATGGAGTACAGTGGCACGTGATCTTGGCTCACTGCAACCTCCACCTCCTGGGTTCAAGTGATTTTCCTGCTTCAGCCTCCCAATTAGCTGGGATTATAGGCACGCACCACTACACGCAGCTAATTTTTGTATTTTTAGTAGAGACAGGGTTTCACCATGTTGGCCAGGATGGTCTCCATATCCTGACCTCATGATCTGTGTAAGTGTTGGGATTACAGGCGTGAGCCACCACTCCTGGCCACCATGTACTTTTACATGGGAGGAAGTAGAAGTTATTTCCAGTAAGTTTAAGATTAAAACTTAATTTCTGAAAAGTTCATTAGAAAGTCTGCATGCATGCTTAGGAGTTTCTGACTGTTGGACTACACAACAGAATGGGTAATTGATTTCATTACCCTTCCCAGTAAAAGTCATCATCTGTAGAACCTTTCTATTGGGCATCTTATTTTGAAACTCAGCCATTCCTGAGTTCAGGTCTTTTTTGGTTAAATGTCTTCAGAAGATAAACTTTTGAGTTTCCATTAGGGTGGCCCAGTAATTCTCTCTTTAATTTTTTTCTGCTGTATGGTAGTATTCTGAAGATATGTTTCTCTTTTGATATTTTCAAAATTAGTTTTTAATTAAAATCTGCATGATCTTTTGTTCATACTGTTTCATGTTATTATGGTTCCTATTTTTCTTTTACTTCTTTAATCACTTTAGGTTTATTTTGTAGTCTTTTTCAGATTGTTATATCATCTATAGTTTTTAGGTCTTAATCCTCCTGTTGGTTGCATCTACTTTTTCATATTGTTATTTGTTTCCTTATATGTTTTAAAATTTGTGATTATGTGTAAGCAGCAGTTTTTTATTTGCTTATGATGGCACCCTTTGGATTTTATATACATATGTATATGCATATATACATATATATACACACACACCTATACATACATGGCTATGCATGTACTCGTAAGTACATGCATATACATATATACATACATACATCATATTCACACATCTAGGTATATATATTTATGCACTTATATTTTTAAATTTAATCAGCATTTCAATTTATTTATAGATGCATCTTCCATATCAGTTTAGGCTGACATATAGCTGAAACATGCCTGGAATTTCTTTGAAATATTAGGATGATTATGTATATTGGAGTGTGCTTGTATGTAGGCAAGGGAAAGGAGTAAAGGAAGAACAGGTTTGTTTTCAATGACAGAGAAAATTTGGTACATTAATTAGTGAATTCACATTCCCTCTCTGCACCAGAACTACTGTTCCCTTGTAGTGAAACTTTATTACCTCTTCCTCACACACATCTATCTAACCACATGCTGAGTTCTTTTAAATGTACCACCGAAAAATTTCTCCACATTGTGCATTACCTTCTCCTTATTTCAGACCTTTGTTATATTTCAATGGATTTAGGCAATATTTCCTAAAAAACAAACAAAACTCCCTACATTCTGTCTTGTTCCCACTTGTTCTACATGGACAGCATAGAGATCTCTCTTAAACAGAAGTCTGATCATGTCATTCCTTACCTAAAATGATTGAATAGTTTCCAACTACTCTTTGGATAAACGCAAAAATCCATAACATGTCCCAAAGACCAGCATGTTCTGTTCTTGCCTCATTCTGTAGCCTCATGTACATTTCTTCAGCTCACTAACCCTTCAGTGCCTTGAGTGCACCAAATTCCCTTCCATACACTACTCACTCTGCTTATAATGTTTCAGAAAATTATACTTAAATTCTTATTCTTATAAAATTTTAATTAAATGTCTCTATAGACTATAAGTTCCAGGAAGACAGGAACCAGTCTTGTTCAAGTTCTTTAGAAAGTACTTGGGACACAAATTATATGCAATAAATATTTGTTTAAAGAAGAAAGGATGGAAAGAAGGACGTGAAATAGCAAGGACTTTAATCTGAATGAGCTTTTGTTAAAGTGAAATTGATCAAGCTATAAACTAAGGTAAATAATTGACAGTCCATTCCATTCTAGTTTTGATAAGAAAGGACAATAAATGAACTTATTTTCTCTCCTCAGTAAAGAAAAAAGACATTTAGAAAGAGGACTTTAGGAACAGGAAAAGTATAAGCATTTTACTACCTTCTTATTTTCACTAACTCACTTGTCATGGAATGAATATTAAAGTTGCAACCTGAGATCCTGAGACAATTTCTTCCTGCTGCTACAAATACAGCCGATTCTACTTAGTACAACTTATCATATTTTTGGAACATTGTTTTAATAATGGGGACTTAAAGTAGCTAGTTTTTCGGGCAGTTTATAACAATAAGGAATTACATAGGTCTAACTTTTTTTTTTTTTTTTTGAAACGGAGTTTCGCTATTGTTACCCAGGCTGGAGTACAATGGCACGATCTCGGCTCACCGCAACCTCCGCCTCCTGGGTTCAGGCAATTCTCCTGCCTCGACCTCCTGAGTAGCTGGGATTACAGGCACGCGCCACCATGCCCAGCTAATGTTTTGTATTTTTAGTAGAGACGGGGTTTCACCATGTTGACCAGGATGGTCTCGATCTCTTGACCTCGTGATCCACCCGCCTCGGCCTCCCAAAGTGCTGGGATTACAGGATTGAGCCACCGCGCCCCACAGGTCTAACTTTTATAAGAGAAAAGAAAGAATTATAACCTCTTGTTTTTGGTTTGCCATTATGCTTTTTTTTTCCCCCAGAGTAGAGTTTTTAATTAGCATTCTTTTTTTTAATTAATAAAAATATTGTATATATTTAGGCAGCTTGTAGAAAATTTTTGATCCTTACAGTAGAGGGCAGCAGAGGAGCACATCTCAAGACAAAAATCCTGGGCCACATCCAAAGTCCCCTTGTTAGGGCTCCCCTTGGAACAATGTGTAGCTAGGTCAGTAAGAGGAAGACAAGCAATTTGAGAACATAGAAGTTGAGAAGCTCTAGTGACTATGAGGTTGCTAAATATCTCAAAATTTGGAAAACTCAAGGAATTTTTTTTGTCTTGATTTTTGAAAGTATGTATTTTATATCTTATTCTCTCGGACAGAAATATGCATGACGTGCATAACGGTATTAATGGTAGCAGACCCTGGCTTTTCTTACTTTTTGTCTTTAATGATTCACCCTTGCTTTTATTGAAAACACAAAAGTGATGAGTTTTAAATGGGTTTGTGTTCATTACACAGATGAAGGGAGTTTTAAGTATAAGCTGTAAATATTTTTGATCCTTCTGAAGACCATAGTTAGGAATTTATTTCTATGTTTTGTCATCTAATATTTTTTCTTGTTTTCTTGAGTGAGCTAGGAATGTTACTGAACTTAAGAGAAATATATTCTGAGGCATTGTATACCTTGCACTATGAGACATAGCAAATCACAGAGGCAAAGCACATGCCAAATGACTCCAAAGATCCTTCTGTTGACTGAGAAGCAGTGCAATGCACTGTTCAGCTAGGATGAGGCTATCAAGTGAGAATATGTAGGTTTCATTGAATTTATATAAAGCCCTAAAGTCAGTAAAGCTTGACAGATGGAGCTATCATTTATTTTTTTAGGTTCTCTGTCACAGGAGGACGTAGAAGTTGAAAGGAAAGCAAGTATGGTGATCTGCATTATATACTTGGTTGTACTTCTGGGCCAATCACACAGAGTCACTGTTTTGCTTGTTTGTTGGTTTGTTTTTGAGATGGAGTCTGGTTCTGTCACCCAGGCTGGAGTGCAGTGGCACAATATCGGCTCCCTGCAACCTCCATCTCTTGGATACAAGCAATTCTCCTGCCCCAACCTCCCAAGTAGCTGGGATTACAGGTGTGAGCCACTGCGTCTGGCCGAGAGTCACTGTTAAAATTGAAATGTGTCCCCTTTTTTACAGGAAAATCTATTCAAGAGTGGTGCTATCCCTAGTACCTGGAAGACTTTGATAGTTCTGGATACAAAGGGAAATCACACAGTAACTGGATATCAGATTATTCATGACATTTGGCCAGAGAAAGCTCCCACAAAAATTTATGCTGCAAAAAAAGAGACATTTTCTCTACTACACTAAAAAAATTAACCGTAATAGAATAGTCTCTATAGTGTGGAAGTGGATTATCTTCAGGATGTTCATTTTCTTCAGTTAGGAATATATTCATCTGTGGCATACAAATAATTTTGATAATAATAGCCATAATGTTCCTAATAAAGTTTTAGGGTTAAGCATATCCACAACATGATTGTCTGAACATCCTTAAGTGCCCTGTATATTTTTTAAATGGACTGATATAAAAAGTATAATATTTTATTCCAAACTTTATATCCACTTGTTGTCATCAATTTCATGTGTCTTTGCTTTCCAAGTAGAATGAGAGGATGAGACAGAAGTTGGAAGTCAATACACTTAGAAAGCCAATTGGCCCAGTGAACAATCACTGGGCACATTTTGTAGGATCACCTGACAGTTTTAATGTCCAAATAAGCATCAGGATTTGGATCCAGTTCAAATTCACACTTAGCCTTTACCTCTGGCAAGAAAGTTCCAGCTGCAGTCCTCATTTATCACATCCCCACAAAGAAGGCACTTTCAGGTGCTGTGGCCCTGCATCATTATGTAAGCCGAGATTTTGTTTGATTCTGCAGAGTGCAAAGATGGAATTCAATTTGAATGCTGGCATTTGAAAGAGAAAGGCATTTTACTAGTGACCTTGCGGATAACTTTCTGCCAGAGAGGTAAAGGCTATCTCATGCTAGGTTCTGGTGTTGAAGGCATTATTTCCTACAAAGTGCAGAGCTATTTGCAAATATCGTGTGCTGTGCATTACTAAGCAATGCAGATGGCTCTGTGTATTTCACTCCCTGGTGATTTACTTGGGATAAATAGAAAACGGCTTCTTGGAGGTAAAAAGCACCAAAATAGTCTACTCTTTACATTTCAGAAATTAGATACTCACTTGTTCTAAGAACGATCTCTTTGTAATAACCATGCCATTTGCTTTAATCAGAGAGGAATCTAGCTGAAATCATTCCCAGGGAAAAGGAGTTTCAATTTAAGGGGAAGAATAATTAAAATCGAGGAAAGACTGCAGAAGTAGGTGGACAAATATTCACAAACATATTCTTCATCTCTCTGATGTCAACAAGATCTTTCTCTCCATAATAGGGTTTCTCTTACTCACTGAAATTTCTAGTAAACAGGGGTGAGAAAGATTCTGTACATAAACCAGTCATTTAACAACAATTCAAGAAAACAGTTTGAAATGCATTTGTTTTTGGTCAATGATAATTGTATTTATGCCTTGAATCTAGACTGATTTACATGTCTACAAGTGGTAAAATGAGTAGAAGTTATCTTTTGATTAAACAGAAGGAAGAATTTTTTAAATCCAGGATTCTCCATGAATGAAGCATTCAATTCTGTGTAACTCAACATTTTCTACCAATGGCTGAGCAGCTACTTGTTAGAGATTGGGTAGAAGGATGAGATATTAAAATGGTTTAATCATTAAAACTCTGGTATTTTCCCATTACTTTATAAAACGAAAAAAAGATGAATTTTACGAACAGTATTTCACGTCGTTCAGTAGTAAAATGCACTTGAAACATTAATCCATCTTTATAAAGGACCAAAACTTTGAATAGCATTCACTTGTCTTATATTGTCTTGACTCAGTTCAAAACATAAGAGTTCTTTGTACCTTCAATTTTGTTTTTTATTTACTTATTTTGAGACAGAGTATCTCTCTGTTGACCAGGCTAGGGTGCAGCAGGAGATCTCAGCTCACTGCAACTTCCACCCCTCAGGTTCTAGTGATTCTCCTGCCTCAGCCTCCAGAGTAACTGAGATTACAGGCATGCACCACCACACCCAGCTAATTTTTGTATTTTTAGTAGAGACAAGAGTTTCACCGTGTTGACCAGGTTGGTCTCAAACTCCTGACCTTAAGTGATCCACCCTCCTCAGCCTCCCAAAGTGCTGGTATTATAAGCGTGAGCCATTGCACCTGGCTTTACTTTTTTTTAAATCTATATATATTCTTCCTGGGTTTTTAAATTATTCTGTTTAGAACAGGTTTCTGGGCTGACCATTATAGAGGTCAGCCCTAGAGAGAGAAGATGTACCTCATCCACCTAAAAGGGAAGTAGGAACTTCTGTGCTTAGAAGCTATGCAAACTTACCCGCTGAAGCTGTCATTCTCCAGCAGGCTATAAATAGCTTCACTTGTGTGAAAGGGAACCTCCTAACTCATTTGTAGCAGATGAAATGTTTAGAAGCACATTGCATCCACTTTATTGGTCTGGTTATTTAAGTTCGGTGGTAAGCTGACAGATGACAGAGTTCCCATTTAAATCTTAGAAACAAAGAGCTTCAAAAGAAAGCTTATTAAGGGTAATGGAATGAACTTACATGTCCCTAGTTGATGAAGAGGAAATGAGATGCCTAGTAAATTGCTCACTAAATGTCTTGTCATCCCTGGGTCGGCAGTGAAAGCCCAGCAATGGATTATTCTATTGTTTGTAATGAGTACAGATACAAATACAAGGCATCGTTGTCATTTGTTAAACAACATTTTTAAGGCTTTTTAATTTGACATACAAAATACGTTTTATTAAACATATTACATAAGCAGAGAAAGTTATGTTAGATATGTTTAAGCTAAATGTGAATAACCCAAATTATCTAATAAGTATATAAAAATTTTGAATTAATTTAATGTAAGTAAAAGTGTGGGGGTATTTCTTTTCTTTTCTAATACAAACAGATTTGCAAGTTTTATTTGGGGGTATTCATGTTATCAGTTTGAGTCAAGTTAAGACACATGGCTGAAAAAAAATCTTGAAATGTAAAATTAATCACTACCCTCTAGATGGAAGAAATGGAATACTTAATCATATTACTGTTTTAAAAACAGTTAAGACAAATTAAACAAATATATCCAGGACCAAGTTTCTACCATTGGAAAAATTTAAATAAATCACTTAGTATTTCAGTTGTTATTCTCTACATTTTAAAGTGGCCAGTTGTTAGTTTTCAACATTTTACAATTCAAACAATATATTCTGACCACACATTCATCCAATTCACTAATTAGTGAGGTTGATTCATTTCCTGCAAGTATTTTGTCCAAGCAAGTTACTACTCTGGTATCATTAACAGTACCATGCAAAGATGACGATTGGTAGATATTGGAAAATCCAGTTCAGTTTCAAAACATTATTATTACTTAATAATGCAAGATGAATTCATCTCAGTTGTGTGTGTCTGTTTTTCTGGGGAAGATTTGCTTAGCTCCCAATTAGTGAAGCAAAGTGAAAATGGAGTGCACAAACTAAGATTGTCATTAAATGTTACGAAGTGAGTAGAGAAGAAAGGAAGTAAATCTAATGGTGATTGACAAAGGTCAAAAAATATATCTAGGAAAAATTGGGAAGAGAAAAGAATATGTTACAAAGGTTAATTGAAGAGCAACATTATTATTCTTAATACAAAGAATGAAATATTTATAGAGATTCTAGAACAATTGTTTCATTGTTATCTTCATTGTTAGATTTTGAGCTGATAAAAGGAAATCTTTTATGTTACTAGAAATGAATTTGTAATCTACTAGAATATGCCTTTGACCTCAAGCCAAAATAAATAAATAAACAAATAATTGCTTCAGAGGGTGTAAAATTGTAACACCTCATGAGCACAATTCTTTGGCCATGGAGCCACATGGGCGTGTGGTTTACTCACAGCCAATATGTAAAATTATCAGAAAAGCTATACTTTTACGGTTATTCTCCATAAAAGTTAATATGCCATTTTTACCCCTAATGATTTGTGAAAACATTCAAGAAAACATTTTCTCCATATGCTTCTAACCCTGCTCACCTCCTTTTTCTTTGTTAAGCGATTAGTCCCTACTGTCAGCAGAGAGCTGAGAATTTTTTCTGAGCATTTTTCTCTAATCTTGCCAATCAACAAATATTTACTGGGACATCTACAATGTGGAAGGACCAAGGGTTTTGGTGCTATGGGTGAAAATTTAAAAGTATAGCACATAGTTGTACTTTCTGTGGGAAACATAGCTTTTATGCACGTGAAAAGATAATTAAGAATAAAGGCAGTCGATTTTAGGTGCTGAACAAGTTGATACATATGGAGAGATCATGACAGGTTGGGATACAGAACAATGTCATAGTAGACATCTCTGGGAAGACACAAGAAATGACAACTGCTTGTCTCTAGGGAAGGAAACTGGAAATTTGTAGTAGAAGAGATGTATACTTTTTACCGTATACCCTTTTGTATGGTTTTATTTACTTATCCTCTTGCAATTTTTTAGCTAAAGATGTTTTCTTAAGGCAGTGTAAAACTAAGGTTTGGAATTTTTAGTTTTTCTTCACAAAGTTGGTTTTTGATGTATTTTGTTACAGAAAATTATCCTGCTGCAATTCTGGAAATACTAGAGCAATGAAGGACTAGATGAAAATGTATCATGTACCAGATATTTTTTAGTATAATTTTCTTTACTTTTCAGATTACTGATATGGAACACTTGGAAAAAAAATTAAATTGCTTTATTGAGATGTAATTTACACACCATGTAATTCACATATTTACAGCACACAATTGGAATGCTTTCTCTTATATTCACAGATATGTGCAAGCATCACTGGGTCAATCTCAGAACATTGCATCATGTCAAAAAGAAATCTCATACCCTTTAGCTATCCTCTCCCTCTCTCCTCATACCCCCAATCCCAAGCAGCCACTGAGCCCTGAGCAGCTACTTTCACTCTCTATAGACTTCCCTATTGTAGAATTTTATATGAATTGAATCATATAGTATGTCAACTTTTGTGACTGGTTTACTTCATTTAGTATAAAGGTTTCCAGGTTCATCAGTGTTGCAACATACATCAGCATTTTGTCCTTTTTACTGCCAAGCAAGGTTTTATTGTATGATATTCC